TGATTTTATAACTGTTTTTACAATGGTTGCAGCATCCCGGAATTATGTAATCACTATTTCCAATCTTCCCAGTTGACTTCTGACAAGCAAAGTCAAAGGGGGAAGCCAGACTAGCTAAACAACTGAATGATTCACTTAGCAGTGATTTCCTTAACAACTATGGCAAAAACAGTTATAAAATCAAGTATGTGACTCACTTAACAACTGTTTTGCTCAGAACAGAAATTCTGGTCTCAATTGTCATCATAAATCGAGGACTACCCGTAAACCATCCCCTTTCTACTCCTACCCCTCGCAGCAGCAATCTCTCATAAATCCAAATGCAGGTTGCTATCCAGTGCCCACCTCTTTAATATGCAAGAAGTCTTTGGCTTCAAAGTTGATGGCAGATCCCTGCACAGGACATTCTTCATCCAATGCGCCACAGTAGCTGACATTAGTACGGACAGCAAATGCAACTGGTTTGTTCTGAGGAGCAGAAGAAATCAAAGATGAATGATCGGTGCCAGTCACTCCCAATCTAAAATAACATCTTAGATAAAATGTCTGTCCTCTTCTTTCTCCTATTTCTGTCACCTTGATTTGCTCAAAGAACACCCAAGAACAGTTATAGCAGGGGTGTCAACCCCAATTTCATTGAGAGCTGCATCAGGGTTGTGTTTGGCCTTGAGCGGCTGGGCTGGGCGTGGCCAGCTTGACGCCACTCTTGTTGGGGGTGCCTGTGGTAGCCCGAACGCTCTGCTAGTGAAAATGGACTCCCGATCTCAGTTTTTGGCTGCAGCAGCCTCCTGCAACCCTCTGCCAGCAACAACAGAGCTCAGGAGGGATGAGGGCAGCCCTCGCAAGCTGTTTTCAGCTGCAGCGGGCTCCTGCAACCCTCTGCTAGCAAAAAAGGAGCTTGGGAGGCCTCTCAAGTTCCGTTTTTGGCTATGATGGGCTCCTGCAACCCTCTGCCAGTGATGAAAACAGAGCTTCATTTTCACTGGGAGAGGCACCGCGGGCCGGTCCTTCACTGTTTCCAGGGCAGCTCTGCGGGACAGATCTAAGCACCCCGCAGGCTGGATCCAGCCCCCGGGCTTTGAGTTTGACATCCCTGAGTTATAGAGATTCACAAACAGGAAAGCTGGACCATGCCTTCCAAGGAAGACACCACTCAGCCTTTGTTGATCCTTTTGGCACAACACTGCTTGGAGATTACCTGCATCTAAGCAGGATTCACTTTTTTGTCACAGAGGCCTAAGCATAGGACTTCTTCTTCTGTTTCCACTGCCTTTCTTTAATGAGATGGGTACATGGATTATATTTTTTCTAATATATTCCTAAAGTGTGGTAAGATAAGTTTCCGGGTTGCCCATCTCTCTGTCACTCCTGGAGGAGCATGTTTCAGCCATTCCAAAACTCCATCATCCTCTTCCTGTCCCCAGACCATACTTTAAACTGCTTTATGTCGATCCTTTCCATTGCAAACAAGCAAACAAACAAGGCAGGGCATATGGAATGCTGGCTGAATGTTGATGGGGGAAAAATAAAAGTGGGAAGAGGAGATGGAATGGATCAATGGAAACCTGAATAGAAAAAGGAAAGCTTTTCCTTTTTAGTATTTTTCCCTCCTAGTAAATGCTGAGGCCTGCAGGGAAGAAAGCTTGAGGTTCCAAAATTCTTCTCCTACAAGCTTTCTGGTCCTTCACATTTTGCTCCCAACTACAGTTTTGTCATAGTAGTTCGGAAGCTCAGTCGTCACAGAGGGCACTTCACCTAATATTCACAATCTCTAAACCAAGCAGGCATTAGAAATGAAGTTTTCACATTATCTGATGCCTTTCTAATAATTAAAAAGGCAAATGTTGAAGGAATTTCCATAGGGCCACCTCCTGGCCATGTGGCATATAGGCATGATGACCAGAAAATTCATCGCTTCTTTTCCCCACCCCTCAACTGTGTCCTGAAAGATGGACAAATCTCACTGGAGATAAACAAAATGAAACTTTATTTCAAGATCTTTTTTTAAAAAAAAACCCCCAAACTTTAAGTACCAAAATGCAAACCTTCCATATAAAAGAACATAAATACAGAGCTGCCCAGATCTCAGTAATACTTGCAAAGTAGTTAAAGAAGCATTCAAATGAAAATGCAAACATTCGCAGATCCTATGTTGCCACTGGCCTACCACATATGAATAACTCTATAAAAATATGTAAAACCTCATGATAAGATTTATAATTATTACTAAAAACCACAAAAATATTCTAAAGAAAACATATTTTCATGTACATAGTTTGAAATATGAAAGAAATTGAAATTCAACAACTGGTGCACCAAATTAAAGAAAATAAGATCTAGCACAACATACTAAAGAGAAACAACAACAACAACAATAATAATAGCTATTACTTTGTTACAGGTAAAGGTAAGATAAAGGTTCCCCTCGCACATATGTGTCCGACTTTAGGGGGCGGTGTTCATCTCCGTTTCAAAGCTGAAGAGTCAGCGCTATCCGAAGACGTCTCCGTGGTCATGTGGCTGGCATGACTAAATGCCGAGGGCGCACAGAACGTTGCTACCTTCCCACCAAAGGTGGTTCCTATTTTTCTACTTGCATTTATAACGTGTTTTCGAACTGCTAGGTTGGCAGAAAAGGATGGTGCCTTTTTTGGGGCTGCATAAGTAACTTCAGAGAGATCAGTATTAGTAGTTGCTTTTTTCCTCTCCTCCTCAACTCTGTGGAGTAATTCAGATTTTGTTCCAAAAATGAGTATAAATATAGCACCTTTCATTTCTGCAATCCTACAACTTCTCTTCATAGTTGTCACATAATCTCACAGCTCTACTGCTTATGATATTTTTCTTTTAATCAAATTGTAATTCAGATTCATTAGGGCTACCAGGAATTAATCTGTGCAAACAGCAGCTTTTCGCATTGCCAATAACATTCTACTCTGTAGCTGTTACAACTTCCTCTGTTTAGCTGATCCACTGTGGCTTGAAGGAAAAATAAGGCAGAAAGAGTGGGAAAACAGAGAAAGATGACAAGTGTTTTAACCAGCTGGGGAATTCCGTAATTGAAGCAGAGCAACTGAACAATAAAAAAACTGGACTGCAGTATACTAACCTGCACTGTTACAGGGGCAATCATTCTTACCTGATGCAACCCTCTATCTAACCTGAGAAAAACCAAGATTATGCCCACTCCATCCAATACCTTGGCTTTTTCAAGCTGCTGCTGGGCCTGGTTCTCCACTTCGCGCTTCACCCCTTCACGTTCCTCTTCTAGCGACACGTCGGAATCCAACGATGGGCGGCTAGTGTAGGAATCAGCAGAGCCCTGGAGCAAATGCAAGAAATATATATATATACACACAGACATTATTTATTTCTTTATTTATTTGTTATTTATTTATTTATTTATATATTAAGAGCTGTGGTAGCGCAGTGGTTAGAATGCAGGATTGCAGGTTAATTCTGTTGACTGCCAGGAGTTCGATCCCGAATAGCTCAAAGTTAACTCAGCCTACCATCATTCTGAGGTTAGCAAAATGTGGAGCCAGATTTTTGGGCGCAATATGCCGACTTTTTACAGTCCTCTTAAGAGAGGACTGAAAAAAAAAGCAGTACATAAATCTAAGTGGTATTGCTATTCTGGGGACTGAAGATTAGAATTCACACTGGCTGTTTGGGCTCTCTACCTGTTAGCCCAGACAAGAAGAACAACCAGAAGCGCTAGCTCTGTCTTTATTGTAAGGTTACATCAACAGAATATTGCAAGACTAAAGGTATTTCCCCCCCCCCTTCTTTCCTTTTACTCTCTGGAAAACGAGAGAGAAATGTTTCCTATACTGTGCCTCATTCTCTATTTTTCATACTAGATTGTTCAGTCTGTGCCTCTCCGTCCTATCACCCCAAGTTATTCCCACATACCATTACACTATTCGGAAACACAGCTGGAGTGGAGATCTCAGCTACGGAGATATTTTACACTTTGAAATTAGTCTCAAACCTGCATTACTAACTACAAGAACCAAGGCAGTGGTGGGATTCAGCCAGTTCGCACCTATTCGTGAGAACCGCTTGTTAACTTTCTAAGCAGTTCGGAGAACTGGTTGTTGGAAGAAATCTAATTTTGTTTTGTTTTTTCACTTTTCAGGGCTAATTCTATAAGGAAGGCAGGAAGGAAACATTCTGGTGTTGTTTCTAATCTTTATTGCTCTGCTTATGGAAACTGCCTCTCCGGTTAACCCTTCTTACATTGTAACAGCTAAGGAGAAGCGCCCATCAACGTGAGTGACGTTGAGTTGGCCATGCCCACATAGTCACATGACCACTGAGCCCCACCTACCCAGCTGGTCATTAGGGCAGAGAGCCGGTTGTTAAATTATCTGAATCCCACCACTGAACCAAGGGTCTTAGAACAATCACGTGTAAGCTACATCCCCACTGTGATTTGTGCCGCAGTTCCTAATGCCAAATCTTAGAGGCTACTGGATACATGAAGGATTTGGGTTTTGATTAGGTTATAATATTATGGGGTGGAGTTATGAGGTTACCATTTGTCATTTGAATACAAGTGGTGAAAGTGGTCTATTAAAATGTTGAAATCTGAAATCTCTACATTTAACCAGGACTAGCAAGTGTTTTTCCACAATATATTAAGCTTTCTTAGTTAACTTTGCTTCATTTGTTGTGGGAATTTTGGGGAAATGTTATTTTTGGGAACCCAGCTTATTTCATTAGTTTGTGCTTTGGTATATTGTACGAACGCAGAAAACTGGTTAAGTCAGCAAGAAGGTTAAATGTATATATAAGGTTAAATGTATAAGCCGCCCGGAGTCCTCCGAGATTGGGCGGCCTATAAATCCATTAAATACAATATGGAATGAATGCAGCCATTCCTCAAAGTTTCATTCCCAGATTTAAAAAGATACTTTTGTAAAATTTAAAACAAGCTTCTCTTCATACTAAACATTGTCCCCAAAAAAATCCATCTTCTATAGTATAGAAGCACTGGAGGCCCCTCCTCTGGGATATATTTGCAACAGGTAGTCCTTGAGTTACAACAATTCATGACCATTTGAAGTTACAATGGCATTGAAAAAAGTGACTTATGCCCATTTTTCACACTCACAACCGTTGCAGTATCCCTATGGTCATATGAACAAAATTCAGACACTTGGCAATTGACTCATATTTATGACAGTTATGTCAGCCCTCGGGCTGACATTCAGGGGGGAGCCCGTCCATTGCCACGCCCACTTAGCCATGCTTACATGCCACCAACGCTGCCACGGTGATGTTGACTCTCTGATATTGACGGAGCCTGTTGCTGCATGTGGCTCTGTAAGGCCCCCCTCACCGCTTTGCAGAGTAACTCTTTTACTCAGGTGCAACTGCCTACTCTGACGTAACTCTTCTGCCTGGATGCGGCTAACCAAGAAGGAGGCTGTGATGACCCTGAGTGGGGGTGTGGCTGAGGGCGTGGGTCATGGTGATTGGTGATGTTGGTTGGGTGTCATCTGGGTGGAGGTTGGATGCATTCCAGGAACATACACAGGCCAGTAGCAGGGAGCTGGGCCCACAGTTGCCTTTGAGGCTGCCACCCCAACAGCAAAGGGATCCGCTAAGTGGCGACAGAAGTCAACGTTGGCCGCCACAGATGGTATCTAGTGCCCATCCAGTCTATACTTGGCCAGCTGGAAGTACAAAAGGCCAGGCTATAGGGGGTGGTCCTTGGGAGCCTCCCTCCTTGAAGATCTCTTTGGATGGTAACCCAGACAAAATAGCCATTTTCTTAGGTCACGTAATAGAGCATATGGACCGATTCGGCCATTTGTACACTTCACAATGGGACAGTGATGGCCATTGCGGGGGTCTTGGAGGGAGAGGCCACAGATTGGGCTGCGGACCTCTAGAGTGAACACAGTCCAGAGTTGCGGCATTGTGGTCTCTTTTTGGATGCCCTCCAAGAACGGTTTGAGGATCCAACCCGGGTACAAAGGGTTGAAGGGGAGTTGATGGCATTACGCCAGAAGGGCCGTCTGGTTGCTGATTATATATGGGATTTCCGGTCGTTGTCGGGAAAACTAAGAGTCTGGCCAGAGAGACTGTTAGTATATCAGTTTAAGACCGGCTTAGATAGATCAATCCAGCAGGCATGTGTATATTGAACGTGACAGATTACTTATGATGGCAACTGACTCACATTTATGATGTCCTGGGATCCCGTGGTTATCTTTTGCGACCTTCTGACAAGCAGAGTCAATAGGGAAGCCAGATTCACTTAACAACCGTGTTAATCATTTAATAACTGCAGTGATTCACTTAACAACTGTGGCAAGAAAAGTCATAAAATGGGGCAAAATTAATTTAACAACTGTCTTGTTTAGCAACAGAAATTTTGGGCTCAATTGTGGTCATAAGTCAAGGGCTACTTCAGTGGTGGGATTCAAATTCTTTTACTATCAGTTCTGTGGGTGCGACTTGGTGGGCGTGGCTTGGTGGGTGTGGCAGGGAAAGGATACTGCAAAATCCCCATTCCTTCCCGATCAGCTGGGACTCGGGAGGCAGAGAATAGATGGGGGTGGGGCCAGTCAGAAGTGGTATTTACTGGTTCTCCAAACTACTCAAACTTTCTGCTACTGGTTCTCCAGAACTGGTCAGAACCTGCTGAATACCACCTCTGGGCTTCTTGTACTATCTTTTCCTATGCTTCCAATGAATATGTTTCCAATCAGGGCTTATGGGTGATATGCCTGCAATGAGACAGCCCTGCCTATTTGATTATTTTGTCCCATTTGTTGCAGGTACCTCCTCAGCCCTCCCTGACCATTCACTCAGATTCAGATTGGCTCTTGGGTGAGAACAGACTGACTCCTACCCCGTAATAAAGCAGCGAGGTGCAACTGATATAGTTATGTTTGTGAAGTGGCTATAATCACACCCATTTGCATTCACATTCATTATGGCTGCCTTGAATGGAAAGCCTGCAATTGTCTCAGATGTCAATACAAACAACACTGAAGGCAAAATAAGACTGAGAAAGGTAGAAATATAAAGTCACAGTAATTTATGTTGTGGTATAACATTGCATACAACCGCTGGAATAGTATAGTAATTGCTGCAGCTTTGCTCCTATTTCCAGTGGTGGGATTCTACTGGTTCAGACAGGTACGGGTGAACCAGTAGCTCCAACTATCACCTGGGAGCGAACCGGTTTGCTCTGACTTTCATCTGGGCCCGCCTGCCCGTGCACTATACTCACCTATATATTCCCTTTTCTGAAGCCCAGTTGATAGACGCGGCAGAGTGGAATGCCGCGCCTCAGCTGTTTTCCTCTCCAGCAGTAACGCGGAAGGTGATTTCTCTGTAAACTGCACATGCAAAGCACACGCTTAGCAAACTGGTTGTTTAACCAGTAGGATCCCATCCCTGTCCTATTCTATTGTCAGGCCTGCAGCCATATTCCTTTTGGATCTTCGGCATGCCACACTTTCTATTATTCCACTATGCCGTTTCTATTGTGGGAAAATGGGAGGGGGGCTTGTACGGAGTTAAATGCTGTGTAACCAAAATAAAATTCCTTTTTAGAAAGCCAAGGTCATCCTTTAACTCTGCACCTCTGCACCTGACCGAAACTGGATGGGTGGAACTGCCAGCATGGCAGTGGAAGATTGGTCCATGTGATGGTCTTGTGGGTGTGGGGGCAGGATCTTGAACTTTCAATCGGGTGGGGAAAACCAGGAAGCTTTCAGATTTGGGTTTTCCCAGATGTACCAACACAGCTCTCTTAATAAATTGGAACTTTGAGCAATACTTTGCCTTGGACTCTGATTTAATTTTGGATGCTAGTTGGAACCCTGACATCTATTTTGTAACCCAGGCCAATGGAGAGGCTGAAGTTTTTGTCAGTCAGAACAAGATCAGATCAACCTTCTATGCCAGGGGTGTCAAACTCAAGGCCGCGGGGCTGGGTATGGCCCGCAAGGATCTGACCCTGGAAACAACAAAGAATTGACCCGTGGTGCCTCTGGCAGTGAAATGGACCTTGCAAGGGTCACAGCTGAAAATGGAGCTCAGGAGCTCATTTTCTCTGGCAGAGCACTTGGGCTACCATAGGTGCCCCTGACACAAGTGACATTGAGCTAGCCATGCCCCCCTGCCCTCCCCCGAGGTCAAACACAATCCTAATGTGGCCCTCAATGAAATCGATTTTGACACCCCTGTTGCATGCTGATATGCACCAAGGAGGCTCCTGTTATACACAAACAAGACGCTAGTACCAAAATACTCAGAAGTCCTAATTCAACAAGTCCCATGAATCTACAGTCCCCT